TGTATTCCTGCGGCACAGAGGCACTGATCCATAGATAGCTGATGTCTGTGAGGCATCCGGAGTGCCTTTGGCTTACTGTGTGAGCAGTGCAGAGCTGCTCTGTGCATATGCTGTCTGTGTTGTGGGCCTTCTGGAAATCTGGCAGCTCTGGCTGCAGAGCATCAAAACCCAACTGCATTGCCATTAAGAGAGGTGAGGTAGTACAGTGCTTCTGAGATACAGCTTGTTACTCTAAACAGCACAATGTGCATCGTATACTGATGTAAATATTATTTGGGCTCAGGACTTGCAGGCAGCGGATATTGAAAGTCCAGAGTAGAAAAAGGCCAGTCGAGCTGCTGTTCTCCTTCTGTTCTGTGTGCATGCATGGGCTGCTTCTTTTTTTTTCTGTGAAGGCAATCTGTATTTCCGGAACCGAGTTATATTAAGCACAGCATGTTCGTATTGTGGTAGTGCAAACCAAGCAGCAGAGCAAACAGCAGTGCTGCAATAGATTAGAAGAAGAAAAATCTGTCTGTCTTTCCTTGTCGTCTCCGACGAAGGGGCAGAAGGGGCGTTTTGCTCCTTCAGTGCTACTCAAATTTTGTCACACATGCAAAACAATGTAGTTGTCCACGTGGCAATATTTAACTGTGAATTTTACAGGCAGCTAGGCAGCTTTCCCAAGAATAGGGCATGCTTTTCTTCCCCCAAAAGCAAAACGGTGCCAAGGTCTAAGCAAGCGTCCGGAATCAGAAACAGTATAATCATGTTAGTGGCTTGTAGCCTGAGTACTGAAGAAGCGCGTGGACTTGAAATTTTCTGGAAAGAATGCATCAAACTTGAGACAGGGCCACTGTAGTCTGTTACTTGGCTGTGAAGAGCAAATAACTGTGGTCACATGACATGCCTTCTGCCGGTCTGTGCTTCCTCGGGTGCCTTGCAGCTTGGCTGTGCCGGTGTCGGTGCATTCAAGGAAAACCCAGACAGTTCTGGCTTCCTGCGTCGGCAGAAGTCAAGCTGCTTCCCGGGAAGCCGGACCCGTGGACGGGGCACCGTGCGGAAGAGCACACATGGCCCCATCTCGCTGCACAGCTGGGCCGGTGCTGCAGATGGGTGGGCAGCACGTCATTGCCGCGCTGCGAGAAGGCAGAGGTCCGACCTGGTTTCGATTCGCGTGCCATTCGTTTGTGGCAGCTTGCAGCAGCAGTGAAGGTTGTTAATGCATGAGCACTTAGCAAGACTGGACTCTCAACTGGGTTGTGGAACCGGTTGCAATGATAAATGATTATCGACAGGGTTTGAAGACCTAACCTGGAGAGAGCTTTCAGTGATGTTGGTAACAGCAAGGGGAAAAAATGAAAAACATATTTTGCTGGAGTGTTTTTTGCCAGAGAGCTAGATTCTAATTTCTCTTCTGCAGCAGCTGCCTCCAAGTTTTTCTCATGAAAAAATGTAACCATTGTAGTTCTTTAATGTTGCTTTATTGTGTTCATAGTATAATGTTGAAGCGTATGTTTTGGTGATTTGAATATTGACATAAATCTGTGGTGATTTGTGCCAGCTGAAGAATCTGTGCCACTGTGTCCTTTGAAGGTATCTGCAGCGCCTGCTTGAATGCTTGCAGGTATTCACTGGTACCTGGCATGTGGACAAGATTAATGCTTTTCTGAGCCACATCCACATTTTTCTTTCTCCCCTTTCCCTGTTTTTATGACAACATGGAAATTCTCTAAATGTTTGAATTTGTAGATAGCAAGCTATGTCAACAAATTTGCCTCGGACATCTCTATCTTGCAACGGTCACTAGCGATCCTGGAATCGATGGTGCTCAATAGCCATGACCTGTACCAGAAGGTGGCACAGGAGATCACAATTGGGCAGCTAATCCCACATCTGCAGGGGTGAGTGTCTGCAACTGCCACCTGATACGGTGGGGGCTTTTTGGGTTTTTGTTCTTCCCAAATGAGCACAGCGTTTGGAAAAAGAGCTGTATAAAGACTGGCAAGCTCCTGTATGACTCCTACATCCACTGTAAGTGGCTGGATGACTGGTAGCCAGCTTTCTGGAGTTGGTCGATCGTTGATATTTTTTATTAATTTTTTTTTTTTCCTCCGCTAAGCTGCCTGTGTAGTTGGAAGTGGGGAATTATGACAGGAGCACCCCCCACAGTAATAAAATGCGTAACACTGTTAGCATACAGCTGGGGTGGTTGTGCTTGCCAGCCTCTGGGAAGTGCGTGAGAAAAATTGGTCAACTTTTGCTGAAGATATGTTTGAAAAGACAGAGGCTTTTACTTAAACAGTAATGTGCAGGGGTTAATTGGATGGAAACTGCCTCTTGTAGCGTAGGATAACGTGTTGTGTATAGTGTGTAGTTATGCTTGCCCCCCAGCTGGGACATTTTCCACTCACCTGAAAAGCTTTTAATACCAGCAGGTTCATCTCCAGAACCCTTTAGGGGAAGATTCCTCTTCCTAACTCTAGCTGTTGGGCATCTGGCAGAAGCTGATTGTCTGGGCTCCTGCAATGACCAGGGGAGGGTCAGTGGCACTTCAAGGGGTGTGATTCAATCTTGTCTCTCTTAATAATGGAGACAACCTGGTCATGACTAGCTTTGATTACCTAACTTTTACATGGTTAACATTAAGTGCAAACAGTCCCTCCACTTCTACCTGCAGTAATACAACTGGAAGATCAGTTTCTACAGTTTGCGTGTATTCATGTTCTTCTTTCATGTTTGTAATTTTGTTCCAAACAGGACAGACCAAGAAATCCAGACATACACCATTGCAGTAATAAATGCACTTTTCCTTAAAGCACCAGATGACAAGAGGCAGGTAAGTTCTTGGGTCTTGTATATCTACATATCTGTAGGAAGGGTGTGTCATATTCATACTTACCATTGTCCAAGTCACCTTTTCCTGCAGCTAATTCAAACTGAAAGTTGTTCTGTTGTTTCGTGTTGGTGTATTATTCATTTTAATGGAGCTACCTCCATCTTGCACCAATATTAGTAGGGATTAAGCATTCTTCTGTGCTTTTGTAGTTCCTTGTAACCTCACATGAACCATATTGACTGCGGCTGGCTGTAGTATTTATTGTACTGAACTCTTTGCCAGCACAGCTTGTAAAACCAGGCTATTTTTTGGTAAACTGTTTTCCCCTCTGCTTTTTTTCATAAAAAGTGTGTTCCTTTAGAAAATGGAAAATCTTGGCATGTAAGCATTTAAAGACTTTTTATAATGTACTATTTTAAGTTAACTTTAGTGCCAGAGATCAGAAGTCTCAAAAGGAAATATTTCAAGATTGCTAGTTGCTGTTAAAGGAGGATGGAATGCAGTGTGTTATGAAATAGAGGAGTTTTATCCGTGTTTATGAAGCCATTAGCCTGTGTCAAAACAGATTTAGTCATTTGTTTATTTAACATTTCTGTCACCAGGAGCAGTGATGATATTTCTTGTGGTGACATACTGTTAGTGTCCAGAACAAGTTCATTGAGAGCTGCTGATCAGTTCTGGGAAGGACTTTGGTTATATTTATTTGCGTTTTTAAATGCTGGAGATTGTTTAAACACACTTCAAAGCCCTTTTCTGTTTTGTTTCAAAAATATTTTTAAAATTGCAAACAGGGGAAAGTAAAACCATGGTTTTCTGGGTGTGTGTTTGGTGTTTTGTTTGGTTTGGTGTTTTTTTTTTAAAGCACCTTTTTTCCCATTTCTTTTTTCCTTCTTCGTCCAATATAGTCTTGGGTTATTAAGGGAAGAAGGCATCTAATGAACAAAAATTGGAATAAAAACTTTCTTTCAGTTTTGGCATAAATCTATGATAGGTCCTTGTAAGAAAAAACAAAGATTTCACTTTTTACATTTGTAAATAGTTGCTGCTGCTTATGGTTCTGTGAAAAGTATGCTTTGGTCATATTTGAAGTTGAGAGACAATGTCACATACAGATAAGATTTTAGTATTAATCGGTGGGCATGTGTTCCTGAAGGTGACAGTACCACAGAGTATTTCCAGCAAGTAAGACACTGTTTCACCACAGTGTAACCATTTAGTGAGGTTGACGGTTCACCTATAGTACCTGCTGCTGTGACTCAGAATTGTTGGTCATAGAGTTTATGATCATCAGAATATAATGATCTAATTTGGCTTGAGGGCTAAGAGCTCTGACACTTGCAGAAAATTTCCTTCAGCCTGTAATAACCTATGATAAGTAATCAGAATCTGTTAGGTTTCTCTTTAGATCTATCTTGTGGTTAATTAGTAAACCATACAGCGACAAGGTAGGTGCCCATTAGCAACAAGATGGGGGTAGCTGATACCATTTACGAAGACAACGAACTGAGGTGATGCAGTCTCATGTAATTATCTGACGGCGGGTACTCAAAAGTTGAAGTTCAGAACTCGCCACTACTGTGGTTAGGAGTGAGAAGCTGCACCAAACCCTGTATGGCTCTGGGAGCTTTGGCACCCTCTCTGCTGCCGTCGTATGGAGACCGGCGTGATGTGGATGTCTGCGCTGAAGTTAAGGAAAGGATTTAAATTGGTGCTGGTGTATGAATTGCTTCCCTTCCTTCTTTTTTTTTTTTTTTTTTTTCTTTTTTTTTTTTTTTAAGGGGTATGGGTGGTGTTTTTTCTCCCCCTGCCACTGTCAAAGACCCAATCATCTAGAGAAACCTAAGTGTTTTGTTTTGTTTTTTTTTAAAATGTCTTTCTCAGATAAAAGCTGAGAGCACGAGCATTGAAATGGTACTGTGAATGTTTGAAACGCTTTTTTTGGCAGTTGTCTACATTTTTACAGACACATGTTGCTATGGGAAATAAGATGGCACATTTTGTCAAATAATTCTTGTTCTTATCTGATACTACAATACTTAGAAGAGGCAGTTCATGTGCTGCTAGTGGCCATATAGCCTTTTTGGAGACAAAGTTGATTTTGTTGCCGTAATTTGTTTTGTGAATGCTCGTTGCTCATATCAGTTTTTGGTCCAGTGACAAAAAAAAAAACAAACCTCAATAACGGCTTGTTAAATGACAGGTATGAGAAAGAAGTGACAATTTGATAATCCTCTCTAAAAAGTAAAACAGAAGAATTCCTATTTGTTTTTGCCATGAATGCGGAAAAGACCGCCTCATATTCTTTATCTGCCCATCTTTTGGCAGTGGATGTCCTTTGACGAAGCCGGTGGGTCTGTTCCCCGTAAGGTGAAGTGTGTCGCGTGCCTGGCGCTCCCCCTGCAGCTCAGTTGTGCATTCCCAGAAGGGGCGCAGAAGCATCTTTAGCATATTCTTCATTCCTTTGCTGTTATGTGCGGTTGAAACCTGCTTAGCCAGAAAAGGCTTAAAATCTGGGGCTGAGTTTTTCTTATCTTTGGTCCCTTCTTCCTTCCTTGTCATTCTCGTGTTCTTTTGCAGCACCCTTTCTGTGGTATAAAGAAAACAGTCGACATCCATGACTGCCTTCTGTCTCGCAATTAGCTTTATTTTTACAAGCAAGTTCTCACCATAACGCTTGTTTTATTTACATTGTTTCTGCAGCCAGATTTTAACAATCAAATTCTTCATATGTTTTATGTAATAGTCTCATTTTTCCTGTTTGCTAGTTTCTTGTTATATAAAAATAACCAGTATGTACTCTTTATTACTCTTCAATTCTCACAAAGTTCTGCAGGAATTTTTAAAAATCTATTTCTCCTGAACATGAACAGTATTTTTGCTATGGTGCCAACTGCACAGAATCACAGTGCATCCTAAGAATGTCCTTAAGCTTGTGTCAGTGTGGATGTGATTTGTTGTGCTGTATTATGTAAGGCTATGATATAGGAGCTCTATTTCCAATCAATGATCTGCTATTTCCAAACATTATCCCTTTGTGTACATATAAACAGTGTCTAAATAGCAGTGTGCAATATGTTACCCAAGTCCATAAATAGTGCATTCTAAAAACAAGAATTTAAAAAATAATTACATGGTTATAATTGCTGTAAGCTGTATGCATTGCGTATGCTAGCATATGTCCACATACACACACGCACACATGCATTCCTATATTGATGGAGAAATCGTGGAACTTAAAAATGGGGCATGCACTTATAGGGATGGTTAAGATTAGACTTCCGTGCTTGGTAAGTAGGAAACGCCCCCTCCTGTGCGTTGTAGGACAGTTTGCAGCATGGGCAGCTGGGATCAACTGACTCTCCTTGCTAGTGACTGCACACAGGTCTAGAAAGACAAGATAATTTAAGACAAAATACTGGACCAATGTCAACACTGCTACCAAAATCCAGGGGAGAAGTGTTATTTGCTATGATGAAACAGTACCGAGTTGTAGGCTGATTTATGGAGTGCAAGTGAGAACACTTTAAAACAGCCAAAATAGTAATGTAAATAAGCGTATTGTTTGACGTCTTGTTTTGAAGTCCTGGCTGGCTTCTGCTCCATGCTTCCTTCTGTGGTGTGTGCGGGGGGGACGGTTGTGCTTGAACAAGTGTCTGTAAATACTCTGTTTAACCCACAGAGGTCTCTTCTGAGGCCTTTCACTGCTGGTTTTGCATCACCAGAGTTCTCGCGTTGTGACATACTTTTCACTTTCTTTGCCTCTTTTCTCATAGTCGAATAATCTGAGTTTGCGACCCCCAAAAGAACGCATACAATTGTATAGCTGATACGCTGCTTCATTTCATTTATAAGCAACACTGCAGAATCTGAAGACTAAAACCTTTTAAGTCAGTGTTCTTCTAGGTACAGCACTAAAATACCTGATTCTTGGCTAATTTTTTTCTTTTTTTTTTTTAAAACTAAATCAGGAAATGGCAAACATTTTGGCACAAAAGCAGCTTCGCTCCATCATCTTAACTGTACGTATATAATTTTCAAAGTTATTTTTCACTAGCCGAGGGAAAAGGTGACTCCCGTTTTGGTCTTCATAGGTTTTATCTTAATACATTTTAATTGCACTTGTATTTTGATATGTCTTGAAGCCTGTAGTATACAAGATGAGGGTTTGGTTGTTGAGTGGGTTCAAAACCGATTATCAGAAAGGGCATTTTCCCAGTCAAATACATTGTGGTTTCTTCATGGAAATATATTTCTGAATACCTCTGTGTTTTATGCCACTTCTTAACATACACACAGGCTCTATCTAGTGGCTAGAAGGAGAAAGCTTCGGTGCATTGTTGTTGCAAAGTCCTGTCCCTTACAGTTACTTACATAGTATGCAAGTCAGTAGCGTTAGTCATGTTTTGATTTTCTTTTTTTATGGAGTATACTTACACTGTTGCATAGCCTACACGAACTTACAGCAATTGCGACACCTGAGTACACTTAATGTAATTTTGTGGTAAGATGGCATTCACCAGAATCTCTCTTTCTTTGCAGCATGTAATCAGGGCACAGAGGGCCATCAATAATGAAATGGCACACCAGTTGTATGTTTTGCAAGTACTTACCTTTAACCTTCTGGAAGACAGGATGATGACAAAAATGGATCCACAGGATCAGGTAAGCATCTGGCATGATCTGGTCGGAACAGGAAGAGGACAACTGCTCACTGCGGTGCCTACGGCTCTTTATGGGGGAAAAGACACTGCTAGGAACACTTACACAATTCGTTCATTCATTTTCTCCCTCTTGGTCTGTGAAGTTGGGTTATGTTTTCTGGTTGTTAGAAGCTATACTGGCTATTGCATTCCTTGTACAAAAAAAACCCGAAATGGCCAGGTCTTTCTCCTTAGCGTGTAGTTCCATGAACTGAATTTGGTGTCATCCTGAGCAAAAACTCTGAGCAGCAGTCCAGCATTTGTTTCTTTCATGTACTTCTCAGAAGCAACGATGTATGGTCCTTCCTAAAAGTACTTCTGTAGAACTAAAAAGTTTAAATGAAATCTATCTGTCATGCTAGAGTTGGAGTTAATTTGTGTTACAATAAACTCCATTTTTGTTACTGGGAACCTGTATAGTAGTTGTTCTTGTGTTCATTGCTCACAGTGTCCAAACACCAGCTTTAATATTATTCATTGTGCAAAAAGAGACACTTACTCCCCCAAGAGATTCAAGTTTAAATAAAGAGTCAGTGAGCCATAGAGAAGATGTGTTTTGTTTCTTTATTTTTTGTGGCCTTTTTTGGGCCCTGTATAAGGAGGAACCTGATTTCATTTTTAAGACGGAGTTGTGTAAAGAGTTGCTGATAATTTGGAGAAGAGGAGGTGGGAGAGCGAGATGGCTGTAAACATAAGTAACATCATGCTGTAGGATTTTACTCTTTCTGTTTCTTAAGTTTGAGGCAAGAAAGTTGGACTCTCAGGAATGTACATGCAGTTAAATAGTGCATATCTCCATGGGGAGTGACTGACGTGTTGTTAGTATTGATGACAGAGTGGTTATCACTGTCTTGAGAAATTTCTAGCGAAGTGTGGCTGCAGTAGTTCCTCTCTTGCTCATTCCTGTGCTAGCAAAAATGGACAGTTACCGAAAAGAATGCAGAGTGCTGAGCCATTTTTATCTCAGCCAGCAAAGTGCTTAAATACCAGCTTAATGTGAAATGTGTGTGATCTCTTGGCTTCCTTGGTTCCATGCCTGTGGTGAAAATTAAGTGTGTAGTTAATGGCCTTGCTAACATGGGTCTGGCTTCTGGAAGTCAGCACTTGAGCATCTGCATGTGAACTCCACAAATGTGAGGACTTTGGAAAATGGTAATCACAAAATCATTCTTGCTGACTGTCTCTTTGAGTATGAACTAGAGAATTTAGACAAAGACAGGTTGGGCAATGGGGGGAATACAGTGTTTTGAAACAGCTTTTGTGGTATTGGCTATTAAACTGAAAGAGAACTTATTTTGACCAATTGTTTTAACCTGGTTTTAACACAGGCTCAACGGGATATCATATTTGAACTCCGAAGGATTGCATTTGATGCAGAATCTGAACCTAACAACAGCAGCGGCAGCATTGAGAAACGCAAATCTATGTATACTCGAGACTATAAAAAACTTGGATTTATTGTGAGTATTTTTGTGTGGTGGCACACTGAAAGTGGGTGAGTGCATCTGTTGTTTGTAGTACATCCTATAATCAGTCACTTGTCTTACTTTTTTTTTTTTACAAATACCATTAACCCCAAATGACTGCTTTAGCAGGAGTTAAGGGTAATTGGAAGAAAAAACTACCTGACGTTGAAGCATGTAGTTTTGCATGACATGCTATAATTCAAATCTAACTTTTAATATCATCTTGGATGAACAGACATTTTCTAGTGGATCTGTGGAAGACCTGTAAAGTCATTGTAGTCTGTTAGTAATGATGTAGACTAATGAGCACAATAAATCTGAGGTAGGACACTATGGTATTTAGTTGTAGAACCTTGTGTTTTCGTTGCTTGAAGTCCTTTAATCTGTGAGTAGGGGATGCAGAATCTCTTACCCTGACTTAACCAGACCAGTTGGAGGTCTGGTCTTGCCTGAAACTGTGTTAAGGAACAGAGCACTGTCTGGCTAAACTGTTGCATACATTTATATTAATAAATAATGTGTATTTTTCCTCTTCTGGAAACAGGGCATGCACACACACACTTCAATCAGCATCTTGATTTATTGTTTATTCCATGTTAGCATGCAATTTTCTTTCTCCTTAGGTAAAATTATATGCTTCATATCTCATGTGATTCATTACTTTGCTGTTGGCCTGGCAAATACACGCTGAGTATAGTACAGTAGCCGCAGTTATAGACAGGCTGGTTTTAAACACTGTTGGTGCAAGCTGAGGCTCACTGTGCAGTCTGAGTGCTGTACTCAGCGCTGTGGCTAGGGCTCGGCGTTACCCAGTTTCCTTGTGGTTTTGGGAGGAGTCTTTCTTGGTTCTGATAGTTGTTTTCATTACTGAGGGGTGAGGAGAAATTAGTGCTGTATCAGTGCTGTTGTATCTGTAAGGAGTCGTAAGTAAATACATGGGAAGGGAGGAACATGGCATTTTGAGATTGGTAAGCATGATAGTAAAACTAGTTCTTTGAAGAAGTTTTTGAAGCTCTGTGTGGGGTTTTTTTTGTTGTCTGTGAGTCTGTTCTCAGATCTATCTGTGCGATAGAAGACCATCGCTATCCCAGCTTCTGAGTTTGGCAGCCCCTGTGGTGAGATGAGCAGAGGACTTTGTTCTGCCAAGGTCAAAAACTAAAAGAAAATGCGGGCCCTGGCTTAGAGACAGATAGGCTGGATGTAGAGCCTCCAACTTGGGGTGGATGAGAACAGAGATGGGGGTCACTGTCATAGGAGGAGGAGGAGTGACTGGTGGCAAAGAAGGAAATGATGCCAAACACAGAGGGAGCAATGGGATATGCTGAAGTCGTGGTGGGGCTGTACATACGGAGGTTGTGGCATATGGAGGAATCAAGGAGATCGAATTTAAAACATTTATTCTCTAATTCAAGCTGATCAGTTTCGGCTGTCTGCTGTTCACTCTAGTTTTATGAGATGTTGAAGACTCTCAGTTCCCACAGCTATCACTGGCACCTAGGTAGCACCTCTGAAAATCTGAACTTGCTTTCTTAAAGCTGGAGCTGAAAAACTCTGAGCATGCAACAGAGCATCCAACAGCAGCTGAACTGGGACTAGCACACAGATCTGAATTCCAGTCCTGTTTTTCTGCTGCTTAACAAGGACTAAAGATCACTAGTTGTGCAGGCTAGTACTAGTTCTTCCAATGCTTGTTTGTCCTACAGTATATATTTTTGATTCTGCAGAGCTGAAATTATTAACGACAGCATGTTTTAGCTGATAGGGTTGTGAGACAAACACTCAGTGTGAATCAAAACACGTTACTGTCTTGCCTGAGTTTGCAGGAACATTCTTGCTGTGCTTGTGCAGCAGGGACTTACCCTTTATCTTCATTGCTCTCATTTGGGCTGTTCTTTGGGAAGCCTACTGAAGACACTCCCAACAGTTGTCAAGGGTAACTGCAGCACTGTTTACTATTTAGTTCTGATCGCCTTCCAGGAGAGAATGGGGAGTAAAGTCTAGGAGGGAATGGGAACCGGGATCAAAGCAACGAAGAGTATGTGGGGAAGGCATAATGGGAGATAAGAAGAAATATGGGGAAGTGCACTGTGAAAGGAGCACCATAGCAAGAGTCCCAACGGGCGGCAGGTCATCCTACTAACAGTATGGTGAGGCAATGTACAAATAAAAAAAATTCAGTAGTGAATTCTGAGGAGAGTTATTCTACCCTTGATGTTTTACTTAGAGCTAAGAGTACAGGTGACACTGCACATACAACTTTTCTCACAGCTGAAAATGAATTTGACCTCTCTGAGAGCTGGGGAAGGAAGCAGGACCTGTTGTGAAATCTGACCGGTTATCTCCAGCCTCGCACATGGGCTGTGCTCGGACTGGACTCCAGTTAGCCTGGCTGCCTTCATCCCTGCTACTTAGTTTCACTCCATCATTAAAGTGTCTTCAATGATTTCATAAACTGCAGGTAGAAGGATGCAAACTGATCTATGCTCTGAATAATGGGAGGTTTCTCTTACCCCTGTTTTGGCTGCATGGCACAAGAAGAAACCCAGCCAAATAAATGCTGTCTTCATTGCACTGGTGTTGGTGGTCAGGATGCTAATTTCTTGAACTGATTAAACATTCTTTCTGAGGGGGAGAGTAAAACCATGTCTAGTCATCAAGTTGTTCCTGGACTGCTTGTTCTCTTTATGTGAAATGCAAGAATCCTGTTCTTTTTTCTCAGCCACATCAAAAAGCTTTACCCCACTACGAATGTAACATCAACAAGAAACAAAGTCCAGACATGGTTTCAGAAGTTTGCAATATCATTGGTAAAATACATAGTTAGAAACCTACATGCAGTTAAAGAAACCGCAAGACCTCTCCAGATGGTTGTGATGACCTGTCCGACGTTTATTATGGGCAAAGAGATTTTCAGATGAGACAGTCTTGAGGAGATTTATTAAAATACTGATTTTTTTTTTCTTAATTCCTTTCCCCTTTTAAAATCTCTTGGCAGGGAAATCCAAACCAATGCTTATCCCTGTCAATTCTTGTAGCAGAAGGAGAGTTTTGGAAACTTCCAAATAGTAATGTAGTTCAGTGTTAGAGATATTTAAAAGATAAAGCCACATATATTGGTAATGATAAAATCAGTCCTAAAATTCCTGATCTGTTCAAATGGTTAAGTTTTGTAAAGCTCATTGTATGTCAAGCTTTGAAAGTTTTCTTGCATTTGAGTAAACATAATTCCCATAACCGAGGCAGGCAATAGGTACAACTCAAGAAACTGGTATCCGAACAAACATAACAAAACAAATTGCATCCTAGAACAGTTTTTCTAAAGTTTGCGATGTGTAGAGCTTCTAGGTTTTTTGTTTGACTTTTCTTCAGTAAAACATAAATGGTTTATGAGTGCAAAAAGTCAACATGAAAAGTGATTTCATAATTCTGCCGTGCCACACTGAAATTTATCAGTCTAGCAAAATAAAGTGTGAGTTAGTACAGGAGATACGAATTCAGTAAGGAACTGCCTGATAAAAGATGACCATTAAAAGGGAAATTTGGAAAGGTGGAATGTTCTTCAAAAGGCAGGCATGGGCTTGACTTTCAAAATATTAATGGTGGTGACATAAGAGAGTGAACATACCCTAATAAAATCTTCTGATGACAAATTTGGGAGGCATCAGTGAAAGAATCACCTTGTTGTTCACAAATTAGATGATCTTTTGCATTAGAGAAATAAAAAAAATAATTTTATTCAGTGATACAAAGTGCAATGGTCTTCATTTAGGACCATTGGCAAGAATTTCTTCTGTAGCCAAATATCTAATCTATGGGAAAAGAGAAGAGAGTGTGCAATGTAGCCGAAAAAAAAGTCAGATGTTAAGCTAGGCTACACCTCAGAAGATATTTTCAGAGCAGCTAAACCGTTAAGGCCATTTTCTGCCTTTCTGAAACATATCTAGAACACTGTGTAATTTTAGTTACCTATGCAGTGACCAGGCATGGACTGACTGAATGTAGGATGAGTGCAGAGAGTGAGGCTTGTGCGGTGATGAGGGAAGATGTCTTCCAAGAGTTGACTTAAAAGCTTGGCTTGTTTAGCTGACCAGGCTGAAGGCTGTGGAAATATCAAGTGTACAAATGCTAAGAGGGAGGAAGCCATATGTAAGCTAAAAGGCAGTGATGGCAATCAATTTATGGAAAAGATTTTTAATTGGAATGATGGGGACAAAATTTATTATTAGTTTAAAGATGGAGCTAGATCCTTTGTGAAAAGGTTTATATGCTGTATGTGACAATGGTTGATCCAGGGAACAAAACACATGAGGACTATATGGAAAAAAAACCCTACAACCAAGGTTGCTTAGAGAAGTCTGAAGGGAGACATGAACAATTAGATGGATAATGACTTAAATGGCAGCATAACTGATTTGTTAGACGTTGCAAAAACTTCCTAATATGAGGAGAAGCAGCGTGAGAATAGATAGTTTGGAGAGTGTGTCTTGTAGAGATCTCTGGAGAGAAACTTCCAAGAGTAGTTGAGAGTAACTAAAGCACGCCTAAGGTAGAATGTAGACCTGAGGAGCTTCTGAGATTTCTTCCAGACTTGTTTTTTTCTCTTCATGTCCCAGATGAGCAGCTACATTGTTTTATCTTTTGATCTTATTCTTTGAACATCCCCTGTTTCACAGCACAACATCCAAGTAGTGCTCTGAAGAGAAAAACTATTCAGTTTTCTCATGGGTTCTTCTGTGGTGCTTCTTATCGTCTCCTTGAGTAGTTCGTTAGCTGAAGTTTAGGGATAGTGTTGATGAAGGGAAGGTTTTTCCCCTTGAGTTTTCTGGCTAAGGAAAGACGCTGAGGACTTTGTTTTTCAGAACACTTTCTGCTTTCTTCAGTGCATGGCTTCTGTTGCACTGTGCAAGTGTTACTGTCTGGAGAGCTGAGTGTGTCAAATCAGAAACGTGGAAAATGAAAAACGTACAGTTAGCGCCTGTCTTGTACTTTACCTG